CGGGCTGGGGGCGGCCGTCGCCATGTCGCCCCTGGAAGCAAAAGGCCGCAAGCGGCCACGCGTGTTTGGGAGCTTTTCATAAAACACGTGGAGACAAAACGGGTCCCCGCTGCCCACTATGGGGTCGCTAAGCGGGACTCAGCTGGGTAGCAGTCCTTCAAACAGCGCCCTCAGAAAGACCCAGGCTGGTAGTCCCTGTGTTTGAATATATCCTTCCATGAGGATATATATACCTCTATGAGGAAAGGGAGGTTGGGATTTTCACAGTGACATAGACCAATATCGTGGTATATTGCCCTGTAAAGCATAGCTTGTTTAAGGGGTTTCATAAAATACAACCTTGCCTACCTATGGTAGGTACTTAAATGCACGGGTAAGGTCGAAATAGTAATGTTTCCTATGGACAGAGCTGTCTGGTGAAGGATTATCCCACTTGGGAATCACCACAGCCGGCCCCATGCCCCAAAAGTCCCGTTTTCCCTAGCAAAGCTGAGGCAGCGACTGAACCCTGCGATAATTCCACGCACCCTCTGCAGATGGCAGAGCTCAGACGTGGATCTGCTGGCGGCACAAAGAACACGGCCCAAAATCCCTGTACAGCAACATGTCACCAGGCGCTGCAGCCCTGTCCCCTCATCGCCTCGGGCGTCCCCGTCAGGTAGCGCAGGCACCTGATGTACCAGGGGAAAGAAAAGAAGCGCTGTGTCGCAGGCACATTTTTGTTAGGTTTCTATGCATGGATTCTTAAAAGTATACAAGAAACAAACTCTGGAAATTGAATATATAGATATGGGAGAGAAATCTTAAGATAACAAAAAAAGGAGAAGTATTAGCATATGAAAATGCATATTAGGGAATTCATCAACCTCATATTTGGTCCAATTTCCTTATCTTTCAAAAGAAAGAGCAAGAAACATGGAGTTTTGAAGATTATTTATCTATTAAAAATATTCAAACAGAGAAAAAAGTAGAGAGAGAGAACACTGCAAATGTGGACTTTATTTCACAAGTGACAGGGTGCATAAAGACCAAGTGTGGCAAAACGGGTTCTCTTCTGGGATGGAGGAAGCCCAGACGTTGCCGCGGCGCGGGGGACGTGGTGGCAGCTGAGGACAGTGCCCACGGTCCCCGTCGGGGCTGTCTCGGGACGCCGTCAGCTCCTGCACGTCCGCAGGCACGGCAAGGGGTTCCCGAAGGAGCGGACTCGCACCTTCGTCTCGCTGCAGCTCAGCCTCGCACATCGTAAAGACACTTTTTTGGCCAAACCATCTTTTTCAGGTGGTGATACACTCTCTGTTTTAATTTGGAGATGCTAAAGATCTGCAAGGAAATGCATCTTTTATTCTCTGACCTTTTTTCCACAAGGGCTTTAGAAGCTCATTTCCAAAAGTCAACAGTTCCACTTCAAGCCGCTCTAGCTCCAAGGCTGTTAGAAGACACTCCAGTCTCATACAGGACGTCTGCGTGCCAGATAACGATGGGTTGTGCTGAGCATGCACCATACTGCCATGTCCCCTGTCACCAGGGAGAGGTGTGTAGAGTTCTTCTTCCTCTGCCAGGAAGCAATCCCATACTGGGGGTGACACGCAGAAAACAGCACAGAATTCCACCAGCCCAGACCTCGAGCTTGTTACCAGATGAGCTGTGCGGTTCTTGTCTCCAAGCCTCCAGAGGGGGATCTGCACGGGGATCCTCGCAATGATGGATACACTCGGGTAGATTTGAGTTCCACATCACGAGTAAACGTCACTTCTCCCGCATTGCAGAGACTGAGGTCTCCCCTTGCCTGCAGTGTGGTCTCACGCTCACGCAGGCAGGTGTGCACCTTTCTTCCAGCTCCACTGCTCCTGCAAGTCTTGATTGAAACAACACAGAAAAGCACCAAAATTACTGATTGTTTCAGCTAAGCAGTTTCCCAAAACCTCCACCATTCCTCCCAAACCTACTGAGGCAGCAGTCAGGTCACTTAATGCAACCCGGCCACAGTGTTCCACCTCAAGTGGGCATACCGGCTCTCTCTTAAAAGTATTCCTGCTCTTTTCTAGTAAACTATCTCTTTATAAACAGTCCTTTAATGCATATTTCTATGGTCCCTTTATCTTCACTACAAAATCTCCGCTTATGGTAGATGCTCTTTTCATGGAGAACGTATTCCCTTGGACACACTCAGTATTTCTGCTAGCACGGTATGAGTTTTACTTGATGAAGAGGCTAATCCCGAGGTTTCCTCTTGCAGCCTCCAGTCACCCGGAGCACGAGCCCGTTTCCGCGCTCCCTTTCCGCGCTCGGAGCCCGGCTCTTTGGGAATGGCTCGTGCTGCCTCTTGGCCTTGTCCCGGGCCTGTCCGTTTCCCGGGATCTCTGTGGAGCAGCACGTGGGCCCACGACACCCCCGTGTGCGGGATCCCCCCTCCGGCACCTGCCCTGCGGCCTCCGCCGTCACCCAGGCCCCGCGGCGCCGGCCCCAGGCCGCGGCACCTCCGCCACGCTCAGAGCGTCGCCCTAAGGCGATGGAGCGCCGCGGTGCCACCTCCGTGCTCCGGCCTGTCCCAGGTGTCCCCAGGGCAGCCCGCGGCTCGGGAGGGCCCTTTTCAGGCGGGGAAAACGTTCGGCCATGTGGAGCAACAGGCGACGCGCACCCCGATAGAACAGAAATGCTGAAAAACTCCCACATCACCTCTTGTTTTCTGCTGCTTTTCAGGTGGTGGTTGAAGAAGCTGAGAGATTTAGTGAGGAACACAATTTGCCTGAAGACAATAATCTTAGAACTTCAGTCTTCCATATAACAGGTGGAAGAGCTTATGATCTATGTTATTTAGAAGAAAATGACTTTTTTTTTTGTTATTACTCACTTACCTGGCAGTAAAAATAACAAGAAACATAATTGTAGAACAAGTATGTCAGTTATATCCTCACCAAGCCTAGACGCAGTTTCATAAGCTTAATAGGTTATGAAACTACCAAGAACTGTGCAATGATTGGGACCATGTTAATTATAAAAACACTGTGTATTTACACAGCACATTTAGAGTAACTTAAGCATTTGGATTAATATAGTTAAGTATTATTCTCATAGTAAAAAATGGGAATAATGAGGAAATTCAGGCACAAGAGAGGTACATTCTGCCCTGCTTAACTCTGAATCAAAGGAGCTACTAGATCCTAGGCAAGCAAAGCACACCAAACCGAACCAACCCGTTCTCATTTTGGAGTGCAAAGGTTTCTGCTAGGAGAGAAACAAATGAAAAATGAGACAGATGAAGCTTACAAATGATATCCACTGGAATGTGTGTTACATATTGAAAATCAGAATCGAAGCAAGGCTAGATCATATGCCTCGCTGTAACAATTCCAGTCTGTAAAGCACATCCATTTTTTTCCTGTTTGGCCTCCAGTATACTTATTTTTATAAAAATAACATACACAACATTTATTTTCCTTCAGTTGCAAAGTGACACGAGAAATGTCTTGCCATACAAAAACCTTATTTTTTAACGAAGGCTGATATCAGCTAAAAATCATAAAAAACAGTAGCTAGAGCATAAATATTCAATATAAATCTTTATGATTCTATATACTAAAAATGATGGCAGAAGAAACACGAATGTGTAGAACACCAGTTCTCTTCCAATAGAATTTTTACAAGATTCAGCCCATCTGTACAATGACATTTTTGCAAGTATCAAGTAACAAAGTAAAACAGTTTTACATTAAAGTCAAGACAACCAAGATAATTACATGCTTAAGCAACTCTCTACAAGTTAATCTTCAGAAGGCCATCCTTGTTTGCACCCAAAAAAACACTTTCTAATTTTGTTTTTTTTTTTTAGAAAATTGTAACTTAAAAACTAAGAAAATAATGCATGTGTTCTTCTTCCCATCAACAATTTATTAACTCACTTAGGTTCTTGATACTTAAATGTAATCCTAAAATACAAATCTGAGAATTCGATGGCTCTGGCCTGCGCAGATCCCTCAGGATAATCCCGGATTCCTGCCCAGCTCCGGACCGCGCTCCGGCGTCCCCGCTGCCGCCCGCCGCTCTCTCTCCTCCCGTTCCTGCTGCCGGCCGCGCTTCCCGGGAAGGCTCCACTCGCTGCCGGAGCTCCGGGGCTGGCACAGGGATGCGGGTGGAAACAGGTGCCCGGGGAGAGCACAGGAGAGGCCCAAGTCACCCGGATCGCCCCGGGCTCTGCTGCCCCGGGTCTGCGCGCTTGAGCTCTCCGTTCTCGTTTGGCTTTTACTTTCTGCAAAATACTTCTCATATTTATACTATGCACAGAATGGATTTCAGGGCCCATTTTTACTCCAATCTTGTGATTAATCTTCTCCCCTGAAACCAATACTGAAGCTCCTTTGTGGTCAGGGCCCGCTCTGGCTCCTGGCCCTGGACGACGTTCTGCTCCGCCGCGCAGCGAGCGCCGCGCTCGGAGCCCGTCTCCCTGCCGCTTCCTCCCCTCGCCCCGTATCAGGGTTTCATAATTAGGTTAAGCAGCATAATGGATTGGAGTGATTCAATTAGAAGGACTGCAGATCAGAGATTCCATCTGCTTTCATTGCCAGCTATATCCATACAAGTCCTTCTAGCAGAAAACGCTCAATACTTAATGTCTTCCTTAAAATGGGAGACATTTTATTGGAATATGATAGTAATGATTAATTCCTATTTGCATCTCTTGGAACAAACTTGTCAAACGGAGCCAATACTGCGGTAGAAGGTAGAACTCCTATTTTTTTAACTGACAGTATGTTGTTAACATCTCCTCTCTGGCCCCAATTTCTTGAATTCTATTAAGTTATAATTTAGCTAGATGTTCTAATTAATTTCAACTACATAAACATTAATTTTGCATTAAAATCTTCGCTTTGTAAAGATGTGCTAGCCAAGCCTTTCAAATGGTACAGAACAGAGCACATTCCATCGGGGGAATGGAAGAAGGAAAATCAACGTTTGTCCTTCCCCAACTCCGGTCTATTCAGCAGAGCAGTGACAGCGAGCGCCGCACGGCCGGTTCACTACGATACGTCACCACGGGCACGACTCCCTTAGGTTGTAATCCACGTGGTAACGGTGTTAGTCTCGTGGTGCAACGCACTGTGTTAACAACACGCAGTTGGCTCAGGCTGCTGTAGAGAACGGGGATAGAAGGGCAGGATTTGCAAGGCGATGCCGTGGGGCAGCCAGGGGAATACAGGGCTGCGGGTGCTGCCCAGCGGGGCTGCCCTCCTGCTCCGCGTTCCCGGGGCTATCCCTGCTCCTCCCGCTCCACCTTTTCCTCCCGGGAAACCGGGACCAGTGGGTTGTGGCGGCGCGGAGCAGGCGGCGCAGAGCTCCAAGAGCCGGAGGGAAGGCGGCCGAAACGCTCCCGTTCCGACGGAGCGCGTCCCGGAGCCGGCGCTGCCCGGAGCCGGCTGCTCTCAACAGCATCTCTAAGTGCTTTGCTCAAAGAGCCGTCTCCTCAGCGCCCGCAGGGACACGGCTCTTGCTCTGGGAGATGCCTGCTCAGCTCTTCAAACACTCACACTGTGGGTACCTTGAATAATAACGAAAAAAGGTATTTTACTATATAGGGACAAGGTGAAATGAATGAGAAGCGGAGGGAAAAAAACAGCTATAAAACCAAACCCAAGGTGAACACTACTCTATCTAAGTGATAATTTAAAGGAAAGAAAATATTCACCATGTATTTTGCCAATGTAAGTATGAAATATAGTTATTTTGCTGCCAGAACCAAAAATGTTCAAACTCAGAGCATATATATGGACATGTAAAATTAACACACAGATAACACAATCAAAGAAAAGACCACAAATGAAGTCATGAAGATCTTTGGAAATAGAATGCTGTGAGTATTTTCTAAAAATACATAAAATTAGAATAAATGATACAGCTACAAGATTATCTGGGTACGTAACAATTCTACATTGAAGACTCGAGCCGCACGCGTAGCCGGGACCCTGCGGTTCCCAGGCCAGTCGTGGTGCAGACGCACAACCGGGCCCAAACCAACACCCAGGAACAGGCGAGTGTCACCCTGCAGCCTGGAAGTTGGAAACAAATCCGGATTATGTATAACACGGTTCCATGCAAAGACTATTTATGTCAGGAGCATTTGATATTTTTAGGAACTTACATTTTGAAGAAGGTAGACTCATTCTGCAAAGAAAGTTCAGAATGATAAATACCAGACTTGCAGCACATTAAAATATTAATATTTAATACGTTTACTAAGCAGTCTCTGTTATTTTTGTTGTGCATCTATGTAAAATTAAAACCCCCAATTTACATTTTGATTTCCCTCACTGATCTGATAATCACAACACAGATACAGCTGTAAAGTGCAATGTATGCTTTGGTTTCCTTAACTAAAGAAAGCACTTTTATAATGGTTTTAGCCAAGATAGGACGCGTGTGTTTAAGGACATTATTGGAACAGATGATAATCTCTTTTTACAGTCAGAGAAAAGCCATGAGCTACTTAACAAAAATGGTTTCACTCTGGTAGCTTGGTGAATTTTAAAGCAGTCCTATTATGTAAATTATTCGGAGAAATTTGGAAGAATTCCACACTGAACAAGGATTCGCTATTAAACTAATTAAAAAAACCTCAGATCAAGTTTACAATTAAAAAAACAACTAAAAAATAGTTGGCAAGCCATGTAGCAATTCAAATACAAGCTGGCCATTTTCAAAATCTATAAATATTTCCAGAACCATCTTATCAACATAAAAACAGGAAGAAAAGGGGGTGGTTACAGGGTTCACACGTCTGCGCAAAAGCATATATAAAGGTAATGTTATGTACATTTTATTTCAATAAAGACATAAGACAAACAGCGTAAAGATGCCCAGATGCCCTAAAGATAAATACATTTAAAAGATTCTCATTAAAATGAATCTGTAGTATTTCTTTCCTGCAAGCAAAATACCTTTCTTTAAATACAAAAAAAATCAGTATTCTGAATTGCAAATGTTTTCACTTTTTTGCAGAAAATCTGCCATGATGATTTTTTTTAATGAATAAAGATTTTCCACAAAACAGGCTTGCTCTACATGCTATTTTCTTTAAACAGTTCAGTGACACAATGTGCTAGCTACATACACAACAGATAATATAGTAAGAAAACACTCAACCTGATGAAAAGTTAAAATCTTCATTAATACACTGGAAAAAGTTGACATAACTCATGCCTTTTAAAATCAAAAATACAAAAATTAAATGTTTTCCTAAAAAGATTTTCCTTATTTTAAGGACTCATTTGAAAATGAAGCTGCATGTAATTTGTACAATAAAATTGTACAAGTAAACAGGTAATATACATAAAAAATTAATTGACATACTTCTCAATTATCAGTTGTCCACCTTTAATTTCCAATACTGTACTTTCTTAACAAGCATACAAAATATCAAACTTCTCTTTAGAAAAAGTGCCGTTCTGTGACATCTTTTACACAAAAACAGTCCGAGCCTGTGGCATGTTAATGCAGTCGAGAGGCAAAGCATCCTAACTTTTACAAATTATACCTTCCATAAAAAGCCTCCTGAAAAGGAGATTACACACCATTATAAAAATATCGACCTCTTGTAGTAGCTGCATTAGAGAACCAAGGCTTGAAGACCATTTCCATAGAGGAAACCACTATGATGGCAGAGCGGCCGCCGCGCGGGGCCAGGACCGATTGTAACCAACAGCGCGACGGGGGGACCGCCAGCCCCCCAGAACACCCCGCAACACGGAGCTCCCGCGTGGAACACGTCACTCGTGGAGGGAACCGGAGGCACCAAGGCTGCCCGGTGCCCGCGCCACCCGCACAGGGTGCTCTGAGGTATCCTCGTCCGGCAGCCAGAGCACGTGCCATCACAATGGTTTAAATATTCTGAATATTAGCAATTCTTATATTCTTATCTAGCCAGTCTCTTGATTTTTGAAAAGATTCCAACTACAGTAGAATATTACAGAAACAAAATATAAATGCAGTTTTTCTTTTTTTTCTAAATGAAACTTACATGGACTAAAACTAGAGAATATTTTTAAACAAATATACAGTATGCAGGCAGACAAAGCAGGAAAACGGCCATTCAACTGTATAATAAAAAACTAATAAAATTTGGCTATTTCCAGAAAAACTATGAAGCGTCTCAACTAAAAGGAATGCATAATGAAATTCTAATCTAATACAGGTCAAAAATGTAAAAAGGTTATAAACCTTAACAGGAAAAAATAAAACAACTTTTACTGGCCATTCCTGTTGAAATGAGAGTCTCAAAGTAACAGAAAAGTGGCTACAAACCCACTTAGAGCACCGAACAGAGAGAAAATAAGAGTCCATTTTCAATCTCTGTTATATCATAAAATCCTGTGTTTCTACAGGTCAAACTGCTGGTGGCAGAAACAGAATTCTTTATAAACTGCAGATGTCCTGTACATAAAAAAATCTCATTGGAGTTGCACTAGTTCTAAAGACTCTTCTGTTCTAGCCTACCTACTGGGTTGTACTGTATCGTACTGTGTGTATCCAATCTCAGATATACAAAGTCTCTTTCTGTAACCCTTGATTATTGTTGGGCACCAAAGATAAGAAAAGCAAGACGGGGTACAAAAATGCAAAATTTCAACAGTAATGGCAATGTTTTTGTTTTAGTCCAAAAGGGTCCTGCATTTTCTCCCCCTTCAGTAATTAGGCAAAAGGCTTTAATCAGGGGGTAGCAAGTCATGCAAGCGAAATCTGTCTCTGATGTGAGGTCGGACATCTTCATTCTGTAGGAAGAAATAAAATTATAGGTTTTAAAAGAGTTAATATAGTGAAAACATCTTTTAAATGGAAATAGCCATACTCCAAAATTGTGAATGTTATTTAGTTATTTTTAAGCCTCTTGTAATTACAAATGTACGCGAATTTTGTTATATTAAAATACTCACGTTACAATCTTGTTAAATTCTGTGTACAGCATGGCCAACTACAAGCATTATTTAACCTACATTCTTAGAGACGTTCAATTTCTTAACTAATGTTGAAGTGCTCCTGTTCTTATTAAAGACACAGCAGTGCTGGCACTTGCTGTGTATTCCTATTCACAGTAATATTTTCAAAGGAAGACGTACATGACTTAAAGCAGTCGAAATCGTGATGAATCAGAATCTTAAAATATGTGAAAACACTTAAAAGAGCTAATTGCAACATATTAGGAAAAGGAGAGGCCAAGTAAAGGAAATACTTACCAGCTCTACAAGTTTCTCCAGAAACGGAATCAATTTTAGGAGTTCATTGTCATTTTTATCCATGAACCAGCTTTCAATAGGAATTCCATTTGAAAGCTAAAGTAAAATCACGTGTTGTTAATTTTTATCCTGAACTTATCTGAAAATACGACTTGTGAAATAGCATTTTGGAGAAAAAAAAAATCCAAACTAGCATCTATTAATATACATTTTTGCTCTAAAGCTTGTATAAAAATTAACTTATAAAACATCTCCTTAATTTGCATAGATCATTGTCAGAAGAACATATCGAAGCTGGGATATCCAGCTCTGGAATTGTGCTGAAGCAGAAAGCCCTGGTGTCCCGGGACGGTTTAGTTGAGCCCTCCCCACCGCGCACAACGTCCGCAGGGATCCACAGCGTCCGCGGGGATCCACAGCGTGGGGCATCACCCCGGCACAGGTTGAACCGTGCCAGGGAGCCCCAGCAGCCGCCCCAGCACATGGGGACCTGCCTTACAAGTGACGACTGAGACACAAAACTGATATAAACTGGTTCACGTAACAAGTCACTTATTTTGCTCCTGATCAGATCTTCACAAAAATAACAAAAGGCAGTAAATGTGAGGAATTTGTTAAGGGTTTCTTTGTAAAATGAAACAAAACTGTTTGTAAAACTTTAGGATAAAGTCCCGGCACAATATCAGGTTCCGTTGTGTCCCACCAGAAAGGGTTTTTTGCCATATCTAAGTCTGCCGATAGCAACCTACATACCTGATAGGCAAAGGCTTGTGGTGAATTGTCGATGATGATCGTTTTTGAAAGATCTCTACCAAGAATGTTTAAATCCTTTATGTAGTTTCCTTGTACACAAACACAATGCTCACGGAATAGTCGATGCCTGTGATTAAATTAAAATACTAATTAATGTCACAAATTACGAAGTCTACATTGCATAGAGAAAGGACTTAATAAACAAACTTGGGCATTTGTTTTTTTTTCCTTCTGATCTGTTTCACTCTTCACAAAGTGTTTAATTGATAAGTAAAGCCACTTTTGAGGTTTTTAGTGTTACAGTTTCCAGCTAAGGAGATTTCATAGTTATCTACATCTGCAAGTAATTGTTTGTTTGTGTATCTACTGAACCAGAAAAGCTCAACTCAGATTTAAAAAATATCTGTCAAGAGGATCTTGCTTTCTAAAGACTTTTCCAGATGGGTTGACAGAGAGACCCAAATGCTCAAAGGATTTTTGCAAGACCCAAAACTTACAGATTATGTCTGAACTGGAACCATTTACTAAGTTGGTTCCTGAGTCTGTTCTAACCACTGGAGAACGGAGCCTCCCTGTGCCTCTGCTTGCCAGAGTAGAACGTATCAGAGCAAATGGTTTCCTTTTTACGTTACCTCTGTTTGCAATTAACCTAGTTCAGCTGTTAGAGCTTGAAAAAAGCCTCGAGGCCAAAACATTCCATCAACTTCTTCCTTTCTAATTAGTCTGCTTGCTTTTAATTTATTACAGAAGAAATGCACAGTAAATGCTTGGAGAGAATAGCCTCAGAAAAATATTGTAAATAAGACTGAAATTTCACTGAATAGTAACTGTAAATACATTTTTTTAAAACCCTGTGAACCAGGGAGATTTGGAGCTTTACATTTCCATGTTACAACGCAGTCTCTTGAAGGCTGCTCGCGTTTTTGAGCGAAGTTGTCTGAAGCTGTACATAGTGTGCATAATTTCATAAAGGGGTTGAGCTCCTAATGTTGCCATGGAGGAAAACAAGCTGATGCCTCAGCAGCGGATGAATTTATATATAGATTCTGAGTCATACGTGCGGAGGGCCTGACAAGTCTACCTTTAGGCTAATGTCAAAACTAATCACGCCTTGATGGGAGCTTTCAGAGGCACATGAATCACAAGCAAATTCATGAATCACATGAATTCATCTGCAAATTCTTAGAATACTGTTTGGCCGTACATTTTATTATATTTTTTCCTATTCCCAACACATCTAAAATTGCTGTCCTGAATCACAGGAATGAGGTTCTCGCCTTGCAGAGAGGTTTTTAGTGCCACGAGGGCAAACTGAGACCCGTTTTGTGTGAGTCAAACGCCAGCCCTGCGCCCGCAGCCCGCTCGGCTTTGGGACTCAGCCGGGCTCCGGCATCCGCGGGATTGGGCATTTCCAACTCGGAAAGGCTGCTTCTGTCTGCCCGTTCCAAACACGGCAGCACATTAGTTTATCAAGGTTCTGCAGTGCTACACAAAGGCAAACAACGATATTGTTCCTGCCCTATAATGCTTCTGATAAATGATATTAGTGCTTTATGCTCTACCGACTTCAGTACAGGCACCAATTAGATAAACTATAAGCATTTGGTCTTGCAATAACATGTTTTAAGCATAGCAATCCTGTAGATTAAAAATAGTGACAGTTTACGCTCTTAGTGAGTAATGATGTCCCTAAACTGCTGAGCGAAAACAATAGATGAATTCTCAGTCAAAATGGTAATTTTATTATATATTTAAATAAAATCAATTTTTCACTCAGTAACATTAAAATAAAATGATGCGGAGAAGCCCTTTACCAAAGACCTCTCAAATACAGAATCTATACAGTGCTGACCACAACTAAATACCATTGCTTACTTCCCTTGGATCCCATTTAGGATGAATCTCTGAGAAATTCCTTCTTTTCTTTCCTTTTTCTCACCTAACAGTCCCCCTTCTACATGAGAACAACAGGAAGAATCTCATCCTTTAATATTTCCTTAGGCCTTAAGAAACAGCTTTTGAGAAACGCCAATCCCTTCCAAAGGAGGCTCAGCATTAAAAGAGTCAAGGAAGGAGAAAAAAAAGTCAAAAATCTTTGCTTCAAAAATCAGAAAAAAATGTGATTAAGAAATAAAATGTTGACTGCGAAGATAACTGTATCATTCACAATTTACATTCATAATTTATAAATAACAAATAAAATTTCAATATTTTAAGAGTAATCTAATCAAAAAAGTTCCGTTTCTTTATTCAATATATGTATTCAAAGGCAGCTGAAACATACATTTGATACCCTAAAGGCCATTTTCAGCCAATTTCAGTGAAATTCTAATGTGGTACAAAAATGAACGGGCAAGCTTTTCGGCCACAGAATGCAATGGAAAGCTATTTATCTTATCACCAGGACAACAGTTCAATCACTTCGTTTTTCTCTCACGTTGTCTAAGAGTGAGACTAGACATAAACCCCAGGAGTCAGGTTAGCGAGACACACTGCAGTGAACAACATTCATGATCCACTTTTCATTATATTTGTTAGGAAAACTAATTTGCCTGCTTACAACAGGTATGGTCACAATTTTCTATTTTTACCTGACCAGTTGCTTTTTCGGGTCTAGTATGTTCAGTAACTTGTCTGCATACACCTTCTTAGAAGCAGTAAAAAGAATGATCTAGAGATTAAAGGGAAAGAAAACAATTATTTTGGATATAAATATATGATTGGGAATGTAATGTAAAAAGATTATTCAAAAGCAGCATTCTTACCTCATAAATCTGAGACATACGTTCCAGGAATTCTCTGAAGAATGGCCTTAACCGGACATAAACCTGAAGCAGAGATGGACTTTAATAAAGATTCACATCACTTCTGCTATCACCTCTGCTACTAATTACCAGTTTGTAAAGAGTTAGTTAAAATCAACATCATGAATGAAGTTGGCAGCAAACAGGAACTACCCACACACAAACAGCTTAAGAAAAAATTAACTTAGCTCGTCACCTCTGCCAAAGCACCTATAAATAAGCGTGAGATGATAAAAACAGGCCTAACAATTTTACTGGAAAAGTGTGTGCAATTAGAAATTATTTAAATGAAAAGTTAGACAATCTTCAAACAGAAAACGGGAACTGGCTGCTCTGTCTGAACACCTTGAAGCAGCTTTTGCCAGCTGGGCAGCCACGTTAGCTGCAGGATGATGCTCAGGGCAAGCGGAGCGGCCTGCTCAGCGAGCTGCCCGCGAGGAGCCGCACGGGGACACGGGGTGACAGCAGCAATAAGGGCCGCTGCTCCAATTCCCAACTCCCTTCATTTGGGCCCTGCCGGCAAACACGGAGCTGCCCACGCAGCGTCGCGGGCTCCGGAGAGGAGCCAAGAGCAGAGGGCTCCGCATCCCTCTGATCGACTCCAACACAAGGCCTGTCCTTACGCAGGAGGCTCCGGGCAACCGGCAGCCTGGGCCTCGCTAGCCCGGCCCGGCACGCTCCGACGGAGCCGCTCCGGCTCTGGGAACGATGCACCCGGACGCGAGGGGACGTCAACTCGCAGGACGGGCCCCTGCAGCCAAGACGGGTGCTGTGGTGACAGCGACCGCCCTGGCCTGCGCTCACCCTGCCTCCCGATTCAGGCTGCGACCACACACAGAATTAAACGCTTTTAAGGAAACTTTCATTAAAGGATCTGGAAAGGAGGAGTATGCTGACCATACTTTAATGTAAACCAAGCTAATTTCAGATTTACCTTTAATTCAATTTACCTTTCATTCAAAGTAAATCCCCGCAACAAATCTGTATTTTAACCACAATTGTGTTATATGAAATGTTCATGCGGACACAACCAAAAGGACCAGAAGGAAAGCAAAGGGGAATAGTTGAAGTGAACACAGAGTTTCACGTTGTCAGTACATGCTGCAATCCTTTAATGGAAGCGCACAGTGAAAATCTCACTCTTCAGCTTTCAATGTAGTAAGGCTCTGTTTGCTCTAAGCGCCTGAAGTTCTGACCTAAGTTTACAGTGACCAGGTCTCCTCTCCAAGAACAGCAGCCCAACGCATGCAATCTTATCACATGTGCGAATAACACCGTTACTTCTCGCATGAGATGAGTTCAGTGACTCCACAAGCAGTGTCTGCTCCCCCTGTCCCTGGAGGCCACCATGGGCCATCCCTTGCAGCGGGCGGTTTGCAGGGCCCATGGGCTCGGCTGGCCAAAAAGCTACTCAACAACCCACGTGTGAGCGGAGACTTGGCCCGCGAGGCGTCGCGCCACGGCCCCGACGGCAGGAAAACCTGCCGTGAAGGGGACGTGTCTTTTACAGATAAAGTAATGATGGTTCTTTTTCAAAAACTAAACAAGGTATTTGTCCTACTGCAATAATAAACCTAATGAATCAGCTCAGAGCATTCCAGTGATCAGAGGTTAAGTAACATTCGGGTTGTATGTGGTGGTAAGTTCACTGCAAACTGTTCATTTTTAATGTCTTTTCTGTATATAGTAGGCATGTAACGGAGCCAACATCCTCATTAGTTTAAACCTGCAGCTTGAAGGGAAGGTAGCAACTTTTACCTATTTTTGGAGCTTTCCTTTTAAGGAAAAAAAAATCACAAAAGGAGGATATCAACGCAAATTATTCAAGGCACCAGATAGCAATGATCTTTGTGATCCATACTGTTTCTTCTCATCCCTCCCAGGGTTAAAGTGGTATTTTACTGCAGAAAGCAAGTGCCAGAAACTCGACAGCAAGAGTAGTGAAAAGGGTTTTTTTTTGGCAGATGCCAGAGGGATTATTCTGTTCATGTGACTTTCCTGAGTAAACATTTACTTTCCTGGGACCTAAATCTTACTCTTCAGAAATAAAGTCAGTCACAGAAAAGTTATCAACATTTTCACTGCATACGAAATAATAACTGGAAATAAGAAGGGAGGAGGATGTTTGGTTCAAAGGCTTCTTCAAGAGCTCGAGTTCAGCTCAACACGCCTGTTCTGTTATGGAAGAAACACAGATGTCAGGCCAGAAACACTCTCCTCCTTGACATCCTGGCACCCCAAGCAGTAAGCCAAGGTATCTGTCGATGCTTCAAGTGTCACTAAAAGAATAACATTCACTATATCATTCACTGTTCTTTTTCCATCTGATGATGCTGATTGATATATGATTTACTGCTCTTTTTACCTGCACCTCAGGCCACTCGGGTTCCTCAGGGTGGCTCTGCTGCACTGCCAGGGAGTCTGGGGATGCTGCATTCCATAACCTACAACAGAGCCAGGCAGGCCTGGAGCACCTCTCAGGGATCACCACGGCCAAAGGGGGTTATTCTGTGACAGATCAGCAAGGACTCAAGCATCTGAACTCCAGAACCTGGTTAGAGCACCTGCGTTTTGACTAGGACCTGCTTTGGCACAGAAGCATCCTCTGAACGGAGCAGGGGGGAGATGCCATGCCTGGGACTTCATGCCTCCACGGTAACGGGAACAAAATATGATGAAAACCTCTTAATTGAGTAAAAAGATCTCGTTTGTAACAAGATAAACATCTCAGCATAAAAACACCGAAATAAAATCCAAAGTCTGCAGCTGAAGAGTTGAACATTTACTCCTGCTTTCCAGGCAAAGGCAAGATAGCACTTAACAGACACTACCTAGGAAAACTGGAACTTTGCAAAGCCTGTATTTTTACTACACACAGAACTTAACCGCTGGCATAATGCAGAAAGTTCTCAATGAAGAACACACACAAACGAACCAATTAATCTTTTGAAAAAAGTCTGAAGTAGATAGGCACAACTCTCCATTTTGCAGGAAGCAGGACAGTGCGCTCCGGGGGACTTATGCAAGGTTAAATCCTCTGCTAGTGCTGGAATTGCTTTGTAACCTCTGAGCCTCCAGAGCACTGCTCTAAGCTCACACATTAGACAGCTTTTCTCTTCTGCGCAACTCATGATAAGTTCTGTGAATCAACTTAAAAACAAATGCTATTTTTAGAAACCTCTCTTAAGAGCAGATCTTCACTTACAGTCGCTGAAATAAACAGCAACAGAGCTGAGTTTCTGGACTTGAAAACTTGCTGCTTGACTCATAGGGCAGTGAAATTCACATATATTTGATATTAGATCTTTCAGAACCCAAGTCAATCTGACTCCTGCTGTTGCTGTATCCTATTGTGGCCAGTTTTGGAGTATCTTTTTGAGTAAGTGCCAAGTTTATCATCACACTGTTAACAGCAAGAACACTGGTTCAATACCTTCCACTGCTTTGATACCTTCAAATTGGTAGGAAAATGTAAATGATATGAACTCAGGTGTGCATTTGCATTATTAGTCAGATTTAATGTCATAAAATCAAGACATTCAGGAGGAAAATGAACACTGGGCTACGTTTTAACTTTTTCTTAACAAAGATAATATATAATTATTTCTCTAGTATTTCTGGAAAACCTACATGAAAGCATTAGATATTTTCATACTGACGGAAAGCACCTTCAGAAACGTGTCTTGCACATCAGGTATTGTTTCCAGTGGGTTGCATTATGCAATAGCTTATATATAGCAACTTGCTGGCTTCTGCTTTGCTCAGACAGCTTAGTGCCTGCTTCCCATGGCCAACTGAAATGGCTTTCAAAATTAAATTTGGAGATGTGAAATTAATACAGGACTATACAAAGAGGATGGTCAAATTGATAAGCAAAATAAACCAACAAGCACATTTCAAAGGTGAAAAAATGGCTAATCATTGACTAAGAACACTAAAGGGTATGTAGTATCGACTAGTTTCTGTTCAACTTTTATCATGGGAAGATTACTTATCTTGTATATTATATCCTAGGAGAACATGAATTGCATCTTTCAAATCCTTCAGTGTCTGCTTATTGTCTGTGGCATAGTAAGAGCTGGAAGTTCTCCGAGTTGGGAGGTCTAAGCAGAACACAGCGATGAGGGCCGCGCGCTCACGGAAGAAGTTATTGCTCCTTGGCACTCCTAGCCTAGAGAGCTAAGACAAAACTTAGCCAGGACTTGCTTAATCACTTTACTGTATAAAGGCCATTGCTGTTCAATGGAGATTTAAATGTCTCTTTTTCCTTTGGATTCAACTTCCTGAAGGCAAAATCCTGGTTAGACTTTAGCTACTCTGTTTTAAAAACAGACATCACTAAAAGGACCACGGTTATAGACAGAAAATACTAAAATCATACTGAGATCTCATAAGAAAAGGAAGAGAAAAAAGAAGCTTTATCTTTCTGATTCTGTTAGCATAGGAGAGACCCTCCGAAGAATTAATTCTAAGACCTTCTAATTTCAGCCTGGAGAAAACTGAGCATGGCCATCACCACATAAGAGATAAGAAACCCATGTTTAAAAAAAAATCAGCTTTTCAAATTCCAAGGGATTTTATATGCAACAGTGAAGAAAAACATTTTTAAAATCACGAAAAATACCTGGACAAGTGTCCTTTTAAGGTGCCTGATGACTGGCTCATTCTCCAAAGATACTACAGTGGGGTCCAATATCGTGCCAACTACATGGTGGGGAAGCTGTTGCTACTCCCAGGTACATCACACAAAAGGACCTGAGAACAACAGCCCGGGTCAGTGCAGCATCTTTGGCAGTTGCTGGAAGAGAGCTCCTCCTTCCCATGCTTGTTCCTCTAGGGTATGTCAATGTAAAACACACATCACTAAGAAAACCTCCTGATGCAGAACAAAAAACTGACAATCTAGCAGTGTCCACAAGACAATGAGAAATCCCTCTGGTCACCAAGCAGACGCTGGGAGCAGGAGGTAGAACTGGCACTGGCAGAGGGTACAGCAAGACTAAACACTCCAGACAGACGCTACTTAAGGGCAGGCTCCGAAGGGGTCTTCTTTAGAGAAAGAAAGGATCGACCAGGCTGGCCTGCTGCTCCCCGTGCGGGAAGGAAGTCAGGAGTCCCGAGAAGCTGCCCGGGAAAGGGCACTGGATGCTGCAGCGCTCCTGGCACCGCTCGGACCCGAGCCGGGGACACGGTGACGGCGCCGGGCAGCGCTCCTCCGGTGACCCACCTGGCAGCACCGGCTACCTGTAGCTACACCCGGACGGCTGCCAACGCTACACACACCGATCCTCCCTCCGACAGGGCGACACGGACACACAGCAACACTCCCTCGTCAAACAGAACAAAACGTAGGTATTCGTCTACGCATGCCAATTACCTGGTAAATTACATCTTGAAAAAGGACTGGAAAAGTGAGTGCAGCATCTTCTAATTCATTTAGACTACAGTGCACTAACGTTTCATCCTATTGGAAAATTTAAAAGATTAAAGTAAGAAAAAATACTGAAAACGGAATTTGCATTTTTATGCTCTTTTTAAGGTAAGTTGATTTAGTCTGTAAAATTTTGTTTTGTGCAATCACTGTTAAGATTTGCAAAAGAATTCTATGAAAGAATTATACATTTAATTATTTTAGCAGTTTATAAAAAGTTTCACTTATGATTGTGTGCTAGTGGCAAACTACAAACGACATTTAATCTTGTAGGCCATCCTGCCAAATCTACATCCTATATCCATCCATACCATCACTAGAGGATGTGCCAATTTATATAGCTCGTGATAAAGCAACGCTTCTGACGTCATTAGCAATGTCTGAAGCAACTTCCAAAACAGAGAGATAAAACAAATGATTCTAAGGACAGGTGCATTTTCTAAGAATATTTAAGAAAGTGGATTTATTTGTGACCTCCGAGAATAACAATGTTCTAAGATTAAAAGATTCATTCTGTGTCAATTTTGATACAAGTCCAGTGCAGTTGAATTTTTGTATTCATAATATATTTTTCCCCCACAATAGTTTTAGGAAAGCTTTATGGGGACAGGTAACTCTTTTTTCAAGATGACGAAAACTTTAATTTTATTTTTGAAGCAAGATGGGAAATATTTAACAAATACAGCAAGTATCCTATTCTTGCCACTACTAAATATATTTTTACATAGTATCTTTAATAAAAAAATATATGGAAGTTGTAACATTCAACAGGCCTTTCAGTTTAAAGCAGCATTACTAATTTCAGCAACAAATAAAACAAATACAGTGCTACTTAACTCTCCTCCTACTTTTGCTATGTGTTTATGAACATATTTACCAAGTCTAGAACTAATGAGAATTCTGGTGTGCTTCTCGTTTTCAGTGGAAGAGCTGGCTTCCTGTTAAGTTGTTCTTCTGTTAGTGGCGGAACATGTTTGATGAAATAGTATCTGAAAAGAAAACAGATTCAGTTGTAGAAATGTATGTACATTAACTGGTGATGTTGTAAACCAAGTAAGTATTTTAAATATTTAAGGCTGCATAAGAAATAATTTAAATGGAAGAAGGAAACACTATAAAAAAAAAAACACTTTTTTTTTTAGGAGTTTTCAGAATTCATTAACATAATGTAAGAAAATGTAGCAACTCTAAATAAAAATTTCTTAAACCAGTACCCAAAATGATCAATTTAATAACTTCAGTTCAAATATTAGCACTTACGGATCAAAGACTTCCCAGTCTTCTTCGTAGGTGGCTTCTGCATGAGCTGATGAGTAGCCACTGTCTGGAGATACTGGTGCTAAAATTCAATGAAAATGACCAAAACAAGAGAGACAAAGAAACAAACAAAGCAATAAATAAAACACACCATAAGAGCGAGTCTTATTAGTGCAGTTTTTACACGTGAAGATTTGCGCTGGATGCAGAAGTCCTCCAGGTAGGAGTGTGCAGGTGCCCCTGGCCGCGTGGCTCGGCGCACGGTTCACTCTCACCGTCCCAGCGCGCGGCCCTGGCAGCGAGGGGG